TAGAAAATCGTCTTACTCTCAGGTAGATATACTATGAAAGCTATAAATTTATTGAGAGGTTTGATGGAGAAGTATAGCAAGAATTAGGAGAATCTATATATGATATTTATTGATTTATAAAATGCATATGATAAAGTTTCAGGAGTGCTTCAGATAGTTCTAAAAATATTCACGCCATTAAGGACATGTGTATAGGAGTTGTTACTTGTGTTCAAACACAAGGTAGTTTAACTAAGTATTTTCATATTTCAATTGGATTAAACTAAGGATTAGCTTTAAGGTTATATCTTTTTTCTTAGGGGTTGTTTGGTTGGCTAAAACATATATGTTTTTTATGTACGTGCTTTAAGATTTATTGTCATTGATGATGTTTCTTTGGAATCAAGATGTAATGCCCTGGTCATGATATCGTGTTTTTGCTACATTAGTAACCTAAATGAAGATAAATACTAGCATGACTCGAACCAACTTCTATAGTAAGAAAAGGCTTGGATGTCCGAAATGCCTATGAACAAGATTAAATCTTGTATAATCATAGGTAAGATGCATGTATAAAGAGATGACATAGACCTTGTGAACACTGCCCTATTGTAATCATTCATTTTGTGCCTCAATCTTGTATAAGAGCAGGGTTATCATACAATCTTGTATAAGAGAAAGGTTATCATTAAATGTAGAATTGATACTAAATGTTAATTTACTAATAAAAATTATGTTGAAAGAACATTCAAGTACATAAATAATCAAATCCAAAGGTAGAAATGAAAGGGATTTAGTATGACTAATGCTCTTATGAATAATTTGGAAATCGTTAGCTATGTAATAGCAATGAGAGAAGTAGAACCAAAAATATGATAGAAAAGACTTCGACTGCTAAGGAAATGATCAAATACACTACTAAAGATCCTATGATTAAGAGAGACAAGCAATTGAATTACCAATTTAAATAATCAAGGTAACTGTGAAGCAGGTACTCTGCTTGTTTGATGCTAAAAAAGATCAACATATTCCACTCCAATTAAGTAAATTCAATTTTTTTTTCCTCAAATGAATTTGAATAGATGCTACTTATTAGTGTAGGTTTGGGCATCATTGGTGATATGCAATTAATGGTCATCTAGAGCACAATAACAATACAAAGTAATGTGGGACGGAAAATTAATGATCATAATATTCTAATATATATACTGTATGTAAGAGTCATGATTACACTGAACACTTCATATTCCTTCTCTTCCCTGAGCTCCTTTATAAATACTTTGAAAGGGCAAAAGTTAAGAATCTATGAAAGGGCGTTCAATAATATAAGCTTAAGGAGATGAGAAAAGTTCCAAAAATATGAAAACATTAGCCAAAATCTGGTAAAAAATAAAATCTTGATGAATCCAAGTCCATACAAAGCAAGAGTCATGAAAAGTTTCCCCCCTGTGCTTATGTTTCTGCCTAAAAAGGTAGATATATCCATATCGAGCTTTTTTATATTAAACGTAATAGAAATAGTCATGAAGAACCATTGAAATTAGTTGGCATGTAATATCTTAGCTTTTTTATGAAGTATGACAAGATAAGGCCTTAAAAAATGAAAGAAATTTGGGATCCATAAAAATCCAAAGTAAGCTACTTTAAACATCGAAGACATGTCTTCTAGAAGGGAGGTGACTAATGGCTATGATTGAAGCAATTTAGAATAGATAGTAGAGGCCATCTCGAGATAATTCCTAGATTGGATAATCAAGAAAAGGTTAAAAGATAAAAAATTGAATGTAGGAATAAGAAGAAAAACATATGAACACTAGTATTTTTAAGTAGTTCAACTTTGTACCATATGTCTAATGTGTAATGGGAGAGCATGCCCCACTATGAAGGAAGAATGAGCACAACAAACAAGGAAATTTCGCCTCATCTCAATGGAAGAAGGATGGAGGGGTGAAAAAGAAGAAAAAGAAATTATTTCCATTAGTTGAGTTTCGACAGTTACATGATCCTCCTCTAAAACCAAAGCTATACGAACGAGCCCATACCTTATGGAATTAAAGCCTTACTCTCTTTCCAAACCTACAATAGAGGGGTTCTAGGCTTTTATTTATGTAAAGGTACAACCGTGTTCACTCATGAAGTCAGGGTAAATGCATAAGAAATAGTGTTTTTCTAAGCATATTTTTTCAACAACAACAATACCATCAAGCCTTTATCTCACTTCATAGGGTTTGCTACATGAATCTTTTTTTCTCTATTGTGTCATATTAAGAGTCAAATTCTCATTTAAATTTAATAAAAGGTCATCTCCAATACTTACTAACCAAGTCTTTTAGATATACGTCTACCTTTCTTAGCATAGGCCAAATCTAATAATCTACTCTCTTAACCGAGCCATCAAAAGATCATTGTTTTATGTGGCCAAACCATCTAAGGAAACTCTCTCTAATCTTTTCTGCCACTGAAGTTACTTAAACATTTCATGTATTACTCTTTTCTAATTCTGTCTCTAAGTGTAAAGTCACTCACCCACCTAAGCATCCTCATCTTTGCAACACTTAACTTTATGCTTCTCTTTTAATGGACTACATTATACGCCATAAAGCATTGTAGATCTCACCAACATCTCATAAAAATTTTCTTTAAGTTTAAAACAACAGGCCTAAAGGATTCCTTCACATCAACTATCCAACTTAAATTCTACTAATAATATCCAGATATATTTCCCCATCTCTTTGAACAATAGACCAAAGATATCTAAAATGTGTAATCTTTTTAATGATTTGGTCGTCCAAAGTCGCAATCCTCCAACTAGATCTTACTATTACACTCAACGTATTAAGTTTTAGATATACTCAAACGAAAACCTTTAGACTCTAAGTTAACGTCCATATTTCATACTTTCCTCCAACTCTCTCTCTAGTCTTATCAACAAGAACTATATTATCAGCAAAAAGCATACACCATGTAATAGCTCCTATATATATATATATATATATCCTTAATAACTTGAATATAAGAATTATTAACTCATTTCTTTTCTAGAACTCTCCATAGTACTTCTCTTAGAATTTTTTTCATATGCTTTCTCTAAATCAATATATCATATATAGATTCTCCTTACACTCTCTATACTTCTTCATGAAACCTATCAATAAATGTATAGCTTTCAAAATAGACCTACTCGGCATGAATTCAAACTGCTTTTGAGAAACATTAATATTATTCATAACCTATGCTCAATTACTCTCTCCAATAATTTAAAGTATGACACGTTAAGGGGGGTGTTTGGATGCAGGATTTAGGCCAGATTTGGGGTGGATTTGAGCTAAATCCAGCCAAACCGCCAAAAATGGAAAACCAAATCTCACGGTAAATCTAAGCTGCGGTTGACGAAAAATTACCTCTTTTCGTGGAAAATGCCGGTTTTACGAAATCCTTCGATTCGACATATTTATAGGATTTGGCCGAAGAAGCGCGCCAAAGGGAGAAAGTTACCTTCACAACGCGCGAGCAAGCTCCTATCGTTGCTTCCAATCAAAATTTCATAACTTCCAATCCAACAAGAAGGGAACATCGTCAAAGAAGCGAAGTCGATAAGCAACGAAGGAGCCGAAGAAGAACAACAACGAAGAAATACAGAAGAAAAGCAAACCATAGGGCGTAAGCTATTGAAATTTGAAAGAAAGAAGCAAATCGTAGACGGTAATTAGTCATGAATTAATCTAAGTAATTTAGTTAATATAAATTAAATTATAAATAAATACTAACTAAATAATTAATATTTTAAATAATAATTAGATAATTATCCTTAGTAATAATAATTATATAATTAGTTAACTTATTAATAATTATAATAGCAATAAAATAATTAAACTAATTAATATCTGCAAGTTATATTATTAGTTAAGTTAGATAATACTAGCTATTTAATATTCTAAATAATAATTATAATATTAATTAAGTTATTTGATGATTAAAATAGCTTCAATTATATGATTAATATCAGTTATATTTTATTTGAACTTCTATTATTGTGTTTTAATTATTGTAGAAATAAATGGAAAATCTATTAATCATCTTAAATCCTGAATTGAATTGTCAAATAGTCACACAAGATTTATCAGAATTTATATTAAATGTAGCCAAATAAATTTAAGGATTTAACGCCCCTAGGATTTCGTAAATCCGGATTTAGAAGATTTACGAAATCCTACTTAAATTAAATCATTGGTGCATCCAAACATCCCCTAACTTAATTCTTCTATAATTCACACACTTTTATGCATCACTTTTATTATTAAAAATAGAAACGAAAGCACTCCTCCACTCATCTGGCATCTTTTTAACATCCATATTAATATTAAAAAGTTTAGCAAGCCAAGTAAATTATTTATCACTTAAGCATTTTCACACATCTATTGAAATATCATCAGGTCCAATTATTATTCAACATTTCATTTGTTTCAAAGTCTCTGTAACTTCAATTATACTTATACAACAATAAAACAAAAATCTATATTCTTATTTAGAATGTTAGGGGTTGTTTGGTAGCACGCAGGATTTGATTTAAGTAGGATTTCGTAAATCCTCTAAATCCAAATTTCGGAAATCCTGAGGGGCTTGAATCCTGAAAATATGTTTGGTAACATTAATGATAAATCATATTAAATCTCGTGTGATTGTTTGGCTATAAAGCGGATTTAACGATCGGACTCTTCCTCTCGAGCCAATAGATTTCGTAAATCTGGCAAAAAATAGGATTTGGAAAATCCGGGATTTAGCACGAAACCGCGGAATTTTTTGTCTACAGCGGCTTTCATTTGTCGTGAGATTTGGTTTTGCATTTTAGGCCGTTTGGCTGGATTTCCTTCAAATCCGTCTCAAATCCGGCCTAAATCCTGCTACCAAACAAACCCCTTAATGTCACTAAAATCAATCATATTCTGAAAAGCTTTGTTGAAATCATATTTTGTCAAATAAACTAAAAACAAGTTTTTTGAAAGAGGAGAAAAGCCAAACCACATGATGCTTAAACTTCAAAACTTCTCACCTACCGGCACATTACACTTATGTAGCACATCGGTGATTTGCAGCTCGTTGGAGCTGACCCTAGCAATGGAACTTATCTGCAACTCCTGCCAATGTCGGATAAACTTCCTCCTATGTTCTTTGTACGATGGCAACAGCTGCCTTCGGTACCCATTACCATCTTCCCCATCCAAAACCTAAATAATTAACCAAAAATCAAATAATTGGCTCTAACTAACAGAAAAACAAATCATTGAACTATTTGAGAATGTTTTTAAACATAAAATCTAGAAGTTCTTCGATCTTACAGCAATTACAGGGTTGCGTATGCTAACTTCGGAAAAGAAGAGAGAGAGCCAGTTGGCGAAGGAGGGCAAGCTTGGTTTTGCCCCTCGGTAGCAAAGAGGGTTGACATCAAGGAAGAAAACCCTCAACTTGCCCTCGAGGCGTTTGTGGAAATTCCTCTTAGGCACTGAGACCGTCTTGTCGCAAAGGAAGCGCTCTCTAGATAAGAGCTGACGCGGCATGTAGAAGCAATTACCAGCAAGACGAGAATTTCTATAAGCACGGAGCTGACGCGGCGACTGCAAGCGACCGAGGTGAGATAGACCGACGGGTGGAAAGGTATGGAGAGGTAGGAGAGTGTCAGAATTTTTCGCGGTTACCATTACTGTCATCTCCTTGCTTCGCAATTTGAACAAGACAAGTAAAATGTCAAAAAAAAAAAAAAAAAAAATCAGTGCCGACCTTTTAAGAAGCGCAGAATGTAGAAGCAATTTGCAGCAAGATGCCTCTAATTCTCCCAAAAATTAAAAGGGAAATTTAGATACATATCACTTTATTTTATGTTATTTACATATCTAACGTCAAAAATATTAATATTGCATGTCTACCATTCATATACAACTTTAATATCAAATATATCACTCATATAATTCATTTATATCATTCATACAATCTTATAACCTTTAATATTTCATTCCATACACCTAAATTTGTTCTATGGGCGGTAATCATATAATATTAATGTTTTGAATGTTAGATATGTAAATAGCATAAAATAAAGTAAAATGTATGTAAAACCCCCAAATTAAAAAACAAACCAACAAGATGCAGAGGTAAGGCTCGGTGTAGACAGTTGCGTGCATATACAAATAAAAAGCGGTTTAGTTCGCTTATGTGCACTATTATTAGCATATAAATTTTTTTATTGTAAATATGAGATAATTTTTATCATTATCATAATTTAATATATTTTATAATAAAACCTATTTTATGTTATAAAAAAATATTGTCATATATAACAGTAGCAGCAATTGTTTTCTAATGTTTTTAATAACTGTTTAAAATTTTTGATTAATTAATTATGTTGCGCATTTAAATATTCCAAGGACCCTATTTTCACTAAGGCCAAGGTGGCTCGAGGCAAGTCAACGGGACAAGAGGCAAACATAATGAAATCTCTAGGATGTAAGTAACTTGCTAAGTCTAGGACATAATCACAGGAGGATATAAGGCCTAGTTGTCCAAAGGCCTAGTCACCCAATCATGGTCACCTAGATCAAGTATAACTAGATTAAGATCAAAAAACTCATATATGTCTAGTGACAGTGCTCTACTTCTTTTAGCTATGCAAATGCAAAGCTTCATGCTTTAGCTTACACACACTATTTAGTTCTCTAACGAAGGTTTAATTTTTCTACGATATAAGTCTTGTTTAATGCAAGTGCATGTATCATTTCAAGCAATATCCTTATGAAAAGAGTGTCGATCACATGGGAAAACATTAGAAATTTCCTAGGTTCTCTTTAGTATTGCCCATTGAACTGTTAAATTTATTTAGCTTGATTATTTAAACAAGTGGTGCATATTAAGTTAAAAGCTTCAAATGTAAAAAGAATTTTTAAAACTTTTGAACCTATAACATATTTCAAAATACCTAATTGTATTAGAGTGATTTTCTAAAAGTGCTTTAAGAGCACTTGAAAGTGCAAAGGGTACATCAAGAGAGGAGTGTTAATTGGTTTTTTTTTTAATCTTTTGCTTAAAAATAAAACTTGAAATATACAGAAGCGTTTAAGAGATTAATATATTTAAATCAGAAATAAAAAGCAATTTTTTTTTACTTATAAAAAACAAATATTTTTTTCTTTTTCTAATTTTTAAAACAAACTTCAACAAATGATTATTCACTCAAAGCCTCTTTCACAAAGATAATCAAAATAAACCCATAGTGTAATATGATAAATAGCAAGAAAACTAAATTGCATAAAAGTAAGGACACACAAATTAAGTTTATAGTGGTTTGATTGAATTGACCTACGTGTCCTCCCCTTTGGGTATTATATTAACTCGATATGCTTCAGCATACATCTAGGCAGAGAAGCCTTCTTCTTTACCACATGTAGAATAGAACCTTTATAGATTCCAAAGAATCTCCCTCTTCTTGCCTCCTCAGCCTGACAAATATGTTATCCGTCTTTTTTCCTCCATGGCCTGATAAAGATGTCAATCACTCTTCTTGTCTCCTCAACCTAACGGAGATGTTGTCCCCTCCTTTCCTCTTCTAGGCAAGGCGTAGATGCCAACTCTTCTTGTGCTCCTCACAATGGTGGATATGCAATCCCTCCTCTCACCTCCACGGCCTAGCATAAATGCTTATCCCTAGCATCCTCGGCTAGCGAGTCTTTCACACCAAAAACTCTTCTTCTTATAGCTCTTTTCCAAAAGCTCCACCAAAACACAATTGGAGGATCTTAGGCACAGGCTAATGAAGTAACCATGTGACCCCTCTCACACCACATGACTCCCTCAAGGCACTCTCTGAAAGTTCGTTATGGATGTTAAGCCCTTATGAACTAGCTTCGAGACTAACCAAGAGGGTGGTGAATTGGATATTTAAAACTTCTTTAACTAAAAGAAAAATCAATTTAAATATTGCAGCGGAAACGAATTAAATCAATAATAAAAAGATTAATCATATATTTTGTTGAAAAGAGTTGCTTCTTAGTTTTGCATGTCTTATGTTCCTGCAACTTGTATGTTTTGATGATACCAAATATTATTGTTCTGATTGTTATATTCTCCTAACATATTTTTGGAAGAATTATTTTTGATCTTGTGTGTACTAACCTTTCAGAAAAATTATACTGCAGATTGTTGAAAACTTCAAATCAAATTCAGCTGAATATATTTTATAAAATAAAGTCTGTGTTTTTCTTTTCATTAAGTCTGAGTGAGTGAGTTTATAATTGTAACTTAGCACACACACTAAGGGAAAGGTTTAAAATTCATAATTTTTGAAACTGATTGTACAGTACGAACCATATTCTTATGGGACGATCTGGTCTGTTTTTTTTCCTATAAGAGCAAGTGAAACGAACGAGGGAGAGTAAAAATTTTTTAAGTTCCATTCATCGAGATGATAATTATGATCGTCTCAGGACGATGCTCTCTGGACGCATTCATTTTTATGATGTTTTCCTACGTCCCAGGATAATACTCTCTGGATGCCTTCGTCCATACGATAATTATGTTCGTCTCAGGACGATGCTCTCTTGACGCATTCGTTTTTACGATGTTTTCCTGTGCCCAGGACGATGCTCTCTGGATGCCTTCGTCCAGACGAAAATTATGTTCGTCCCAGGACAATAAGCTATGTTCTATAAACGTAAGAGTCATTCAGTTTTTTTTTTTTTTGTAAAAACGAACTATGGAAATAACTTTTCGTACCGGACGAACATAGTTTGTACGGGAAGATGATCGGGTGCGAAGTGAAATCGTACTAGTTTACTTTTAGTTTGTACACAACATCTGTTACACTATTCGTCTATACGAACTAGGATCGTACGGGATGATCGATAACGCACATATTTGAATAATTGCAGTTTTTAGATGGTTTATCGCGTCTTTCATATAAAAGGTCCACTTAAAACTGTATTGTAATCGTTTTGTCCACTGCTCTTCGTGCAAACTGAAGAGAGATTGAAGGAGAGAGTGTTTGAAGGAGATTTCTTACCACTGGAGCGTGAAGGGTTCACTTGGTACTCAAAGGTAAGGATCTTTGTTTGTGAATTGTGATTACTTCACTCTTTTCTCTTGTCCTTCCAGATTTCTCGTGAGAAGATCTTGTTAAGGAGATTCGATTCTCTGTCGACACTCGAGGAGTGTGAACAACGGGAGGTTCTCTGCCTACACTTGGAGAAGTGTGAAAGGACGAAAGGTTCTTTGCCTACACTTGGAGAGTGCGAACAACATGAAGGTTCTCTGCCTACACTTGAAGAGTGTAAAAGGATGACAGTTCTTTGTCGCACCGGGTAGTGGTGGAAGAGAGTTTTTGTACAGGCTTCTCTGCCTTGCTGTGGGGGCAAAAGGAGAGACACTAAGTGGTAATAGTGCAATACCAGAATTGGGAGACTTCATGGAGTGGATGTAGGTCGTGTTTGGCCGAACCACTATAAATCTTGCGTCTTTTTATTTTTCCGCTCATTTTTACTTTATTGTTTCTGTTTGATCTATGGTTGAAAAATCCTTTAAGAAAAATTTTCTTTAAAAAAGTTTCGAATCGATTTAAAATTATAAAAGGGTGGTAAAACTTTTTAATTACCAATTCACCCTCTCTTGGTTAGCCGTTGGGACATAACCTTAGGTCTAACAACCTAATTCATATTTAACAAGTTTCAACATGTGATATTAGAGTTTTGTTTCAAAATCATAAGTTTAGACTACTTTTTAATTAACGACCATGGTTACATTTGAAAATTGAAACACACCTGAGGGTTACTCTATAACTAAACCGCCATTATTCGATAATATTCCTTTTAATTTTTGGAAAACACGCATGTCTATATTTTTACATTCACTTGATTATCGTATGTAGATCTTAGTTAAGGAAAGGGTATATAAAATCAACTAGATTAGATGATGGAGTTAGAGTTGAAACACCTTTTACATATTGGATAGTAGAAGAACGTGACTAAGCACAATTAAATGTCAAATGCTTGAATAGTTTTTTTGTGCTCTTAAATTTGAAGACTACATGCGGGTTTCCACTTACAAGAGTGGAAAGGATATATGGGATAGAATTTGTATAACTTATGAGGGGACTAATGAAGTTAAACCATCCAGACTTAATATCTTATTGCATGACTATGAACTATTTCGCATGAAACCCAATGAATCCATTTCTGATATGTACACAATATTCACACAAATAGTCACCTCTTTACATGCATTAGGTATAGAACTAATGAATGCATAAATGGTTAATAAAATACTTCATTGTTTATCTACTGTTTATGATGCTAACATAACTACGATTACAGAGTCTAAAGATTTAAACATTTACTTTATTGATAATCTTCTTGGATCACTTATTACTTACGAGTAAGGGGTGAGTCAAAGAAAGATTGATGTAGGTGAACCACAAAGGGATAAGAACATAGCACTGAAAGTGGAGGAGTTAGAGAGTGAACTCTCACAACCTGAGGATGAAGACGACATCGCACTGATGACTAGACAATTTAGAATCTTTCTGAAGAGGAAGAAAAAGAGACACCAACAATGGAATCGAGGTAAATTTAATATATATGTTAAGGTTTCAAATGATGTTATTTGTTATGAGTGCACAAAACCTGGACATATTAAGTCATAATGCCCAAAACTCAAAGCCACTCCTAGCAAGGAGAAGGTAGTGGAGAAACTAATTGTGAAGAAGGGCAAGAAGAAATTCCAAAGA